ATGGGCCATAATAATCATATATATTGTATATTGACAAAATAAAAATTTAATGAAAAAAAAATAGCTCCGCTAAAAAATTGAAATACCAAGAAATCAATTTAACCAAGGAGGTGAAAGATCTTTACAATGAGGCATACAAAACACTGCTGGAAAATGTTATAAAGACATCAAAACATGGAAAGACATTCCATGTTATGGCTTAGAAGATTTAATATTGTGAAAATGTTCATCCTCCTCCAAGTGATCGAAAGATTCAGTTCAATCCACATCAAAATACCAATGATATTCTTGGCAGATATAGAAACAAAAATCCTAACATTTATATGGAACCACAAAAGACCCCGAATAGCCAATGCAACCCTGTGCAAAAAAATAAATAAACAAAATAAAGCTGCAAGCACACAACTACCTGATTTCAAATGATACTATACAGCTATAGTAGCCAAACAGCATGATAGTGTCATAAAACAGACACGTGCACTGAAGGAACAGAACAGAGAGCCCCCAAATCATCCACGTGCTTATAGGCAACAGGTATTTGACAAGGGCAAGAGGAGCATACATTGGGGAAATGAAAACCTGTTCAAAAAATGGTGCTGGGAAAACTGGACATCCATATATACTAAAATGATTCTAGACCTGTCCCTCTCACCATAGAACAAAATCAATTCAAAATGGATTAAAGACTTCCATGTAAGATGTGAAACTATAAAACTTCTAAAAGAAAACTTACGGTAAACATTCCAGGAAGTAGGACTGAGTAAGGACTTTATGAATAAGACCCCAGAGCCCAAGCTACAAAAGAATATAATAAACAAATGGGATTATATCAAACTACAAACCTTCTGCACACCAAAGAGATGGTTAACAGACTGAAAAGACAACAAACAAAATGGTACAAAATATCCACAATCTATGCACCTGGCAGAGGATTAATATCCAGAATATAAGAAGAACTGAAAAAACTTACCAGTAAAAAAAACAAGAAACGTGATTAAAAAATGGGAAAAATATCAAAATAGGCATTTCTCAAAGAAAGATATAAAAATGGCCCCAGACACCTGAAAAAATGGTCAACATCACTCAGCTATAGGGAAATGCAAATCATAACAAAATTGAGGAATCATCTGACTCCAGTTAAACTGGCCAGTGTCAAAAGGACAGAGAATAACTAATGCTGGGGAGCATGTGGAGAAAGGGGAATTGACATACAATGTTTGTGGGACTGTAAATTAGTACAACCACGATGGAAATTAGTGTGGAGGATTTTCAAACCACTATAGATTGAGCTGTCATGTGATCCAGCAATCCCACTGCTGGGTACATACCCAAAGGAATGGAAACCGTCATGTCAAAGAAATACCTGCACCCCCGTGTTCATCAGAGCTCTATTAACAACAGCCAAGAGGTGGAACCAACGTAAATGTCCACCGGCCAATGACTGGATAAGGAAAATGTGGTTTATTTACACAATGGAATACTACTCTGCCGTGAAAGGAATGAAATTTTGCCATTCACACCAACATGGATAAACTTAGAGAAAATTATGTTAAGTGAAATAAGGCAGATGCAGAAAGAGAAATACCACGTGTCTTCACTCATAAGTAGGAGCTGAAATAATAAACAAACAAAGAGAAAAAAGAAAATAAGATACAACAGTCACAAAAATTCCTTGAACTTTCAAAAGGAGACAGTGGAACTGAGACCACCAGAGGTAGAAAAGTGGGAGAGAGGGCGTCAGGGAGAAACTGGTGAAGAGCCACAAAAATTTTCACATTGTGTAACGACAAACTAAAGAAATGAAAGAAAGAGAGAAAGATCGAACAATATCAATAATACATTGAACTTTCAAAGGGACAGAACAGAGCTTTGGTCAACAGAGAAGGGGGGAGGGGAGGGTGTTAGGGAGAAATTGGTTAATGGACACAAAGAATAATGACCTTTTGTAAAGATGACTATTCCAGCTATCCTGATTTGATGATCAGGTATTGCACACAGGCATTGATATTTAAGTCTCTATCTCCAAATATGTACAATCAGTTATGTTTCAATAAACAAATAATTAAATGAAACTTTCACACATGTTACAACATGGATGAAGTTTGAAAGCATTGTGGTAAGTGGAGGGAACCACACACGCAAGGACAAATGGTGTGTGATTCCACTCAAGTGAGACACCTGGAAGAACCAGATCTGTGCACACAGAAGTGGATGATGTTGCCAAGGGCTGGGGAAGGGGGGAGTGGGGAGTTGATTTTTCATGGATAGAGAGTGTCAGTTTCACACAATGAAGATGTTCTGGAGATGGATGTTGGACAAGGTTGTGCAGCAGTGGCAATGTGTGAATGCCACAGAAAAGGACACTAAACGTGGTGAATATGCACATGCTGTGTTATGTACACTTAGCCTGGAAATCTGAACAAATTCCTTACCAAGGAAGATAAGTGGGCAGCAAAGCAGCCGACAGGAAAACCTGAGAAACATCATTTCCCAACATGAAACTGCCAGTTATGCCAGCACTGATATTCCACAGTTTTAAAAATACAAAACTATTTTTGTAAAAATGACATATCTACTTGTGATGCAGGGACACAGCATTAGGAATTCTCATTCACTGCTGTTGAGGATCCAAATGAAATACCAGATTCCTAGTGCTGGAAATCCACTGCATAACCACGGTGGAGACAGTGCAGTCAGCGACAGAGCAGATCCCAGCTTTCAACACGCCCACCACGTGCATTCTCAGGTATTTATCGAACAGACTTGAAAATAATGCTCATGGAAAAGCCTACACTCACATGTGTACAGATGCCTCATTCACAATTGCCAAAAGCCACAAACTACCTCGATGTCCTTCAATGCTTGAATGGATAAAAAAGCTGTGGTGCAGACAAGCAATGGTTCAATTTGTGATTGCTTCATTTTATCCAAAAAAATAAATATATAAATAAAACATCTCTATTTATCTTTTGGCTCTATATTGTCTGGATTTATTACTAATTAATCTTCAAAAGCTTTTATTCAAATCTGCACTTTATTCAGAAGCCCAAGGTTAGTTTCTCTGCTAATCGTATCTTCTTCTTAGTAGAATTCTGTTACCATTAATGGAAGAGATACCTCCTGTTTATCTATTATTTTCCCACCTCAGCATATTAATTCCAGAGATGGTTTATCTGAAATCTTGTCTGCCTTCTGCACACTTGAATTCACAGTTTTGTAGTTTCTTCATTCTTATGTTTTTCTCCGTCGTGGCTTTGGGAGACTTCCTGACACATTCATGACATTAACGATGTGTCTATAATGAGGAAAATGCAAAAAAAAAAAACCAAGTGACATAATCTTTATATGAAAAACCTTCATTTGAGGAAAGATTTTGAGGAAGATGTCTTTTTTATGAAAAACCTACGTTTCTGGCATTGTCGTTTTATTTAAATCTGATATGGGTCAGTCTGAATAGAAATCTACTTTACCATTTCACACCAGGGGATGTCCTGCCTTCAGCGATCTGGGCCATCCATAGAAGAACACGGTTGAAGACCCACTGTCCAGCACACACATTTCTGCTGTCCTTTACTCCCACTTGGGCTTCTTCTCCACCCAACACAAATTCCATGACTCTATTCCATACAAAGTGTCACCAAATCCCTCTCTGCAGTTCTCAGAATTGTCACCAGCCTGAACTACGATACAGCCTCTTCTCAGCTATGACTGTGATACAGGCCAGATCCCGAGGACACAGCCAGGAACAAGTTCCCTCTTTTATATCAGTGCTAGGACATGTCTCTTCACATTTCCCACTTCCACAGATGGAGAACTCGGCAGTGGATCCATTAGAGCCTCCTCCAGGACCCCACATCTACTTAGAGGTACAGCAGGACCCATGTAAGAGAGGCAGTGGAGTCCCTGACTCTGTGCATTTCCCTCCAGTCCTCATCCAAAGACAGTCTCCAGCGGATGACACCACAGCCCCGATTGACAGCCTCACAGCAGAGCACGAGAGAACTTGACCATTTCCTTGCAGGCTTGAGCACTGCACCCCTAACCCATCCAGAGTCACAGGAGTAGAGTGCAGCTCAGCCAGGGCTGATTCCCAAACATGAGGACAGACTCAGCAGCTCCACACACCACCCAGGACTGGTTCACCAGGAACTGGTGGCAGGCACCCCACCTCAGCCTCTCAAACCCCAGGACACATGCAAATGATCCTGGGCGCTGACAGAACAAAAAACCCTCCAGAGGCTGGGGCAGTGTGGTGGTCTTCACCCTGCAGGCACCATGCAGACGCTGGGGTTCCTTCTATGCCTGATGGCAGCTCCCCTTGGTGAGGGTCTCTGGGGGGCTGCAGCTCTTTACGGGGGTCTGAGTGTCCGATGTAACAAAAATCTGACCATGACTCTCTTTGTCCCCAGGTGTCTTGTCTGAACTGCTGTCTTCATCCTGTAGGCACCATGCAGACGCTGGGGTTCCTTCTATGCCTGATCGCAGCTCCCCTTGGCGAGGGTCTCTGGGGCCTGCAGCTGTTTACGGGGGTCTGAGAGTCTGATGGAAGAAACAGTCTGACCATGACTCTCTTTGTCCCCAGGTGTCTTGTCTGAACTGACATTGAGGGATTCAGGCCCAGGACTGGTGAAGCCCTCGCAGACCCTGTCCCTCACCTGCACCGTCTCTGGGGGCTCTGTCACCAGTTACTACTGGCATTGGGTACGGCAGTGTCCTGGGAAAGCGCGGAGTGGATGGGGTACTGGAGCGGGGGCACGTACTACAACTCGGCTTTCCAGGGCCGCATCTCCATCACCGCCGACACATCCAACAACCAGTTCTCCCTGCAGCTGAGCTTTGTGACCGCCGACGACACAGCCGTGTACTTCTGTGCAGGAGACACAGTGAGGGGAAGTCAGCGTGAGCCCAGACACGAACCTCCCTGCAGGGCGCTCAGGACCACCGACCTCAGGGAGCAGCCCCAGGAGCAGGTGCAGAGAAGGGGGCTGGGGGCGAGGGGCTTCCTGTCAGGCCTGCAGCTTCCTCCCCTGCAGCCTGTTTCCCTCCAGACCAGACACGCCATTCTGCTGTGCCTGCTTCTCCTTTATTTCAGTCCCAGTGAGATTGCACAGTTATTTAAATCCTGTATTTCTTAAAAAGGGGGCTTCAATCAAGGAAAAAGCAAAGTTTCAGATCCCAAACCTTTTCTTTTATTTTTAGATATATTTTTTAAAACACTTGGTGATTTACTGTATTATTAAGAAAAAAGTACAAAGAGGCCTCACATACCCTGGACCCAGGTTTTCCTGTTATGAATGACTCACATTGCCATGGTACATTTCTTACTATTAATGAAGCAGCATTGACACATGTTATCAACTAACATCCGTACCTCATTCATGGTTCCTTTCTGTTCACCTCATGTCCCTTGTCTGCTTCCATGTGGAACCCGTGTAGGATTCCACACTATGTTTAGACTGGATGTGTCATAGGTTTTTTTCTGTCCTGACAGTTTCTCAGACACCCTTCCGTAGATGACCTTACCAGCTGTCAAGAGTACTGCTGACACATTTTGTAGACTGTCCCTCAGTTGGGATCCGCCTGATGCTGGTCTCATGAATAGATGGAAGTTAAGTGTCTAAGAGGAACCATAGACTTGAGTAACATCCCTGTCACATCGTAACGTACTATCAATGTGACATCACTGCGGAGGTTGGCCTTGCTCACCTGCCTAGGTAGCGTTTGTCAGGTGTCTGGGCTGGGATGTGACTCCCACCCTTTCCATAATGTAGTCTTTCTAATAAAGTCACCATGTGCAGCCCATGCCTAAAAGGGGGAAGTTTTCTTCCTCCTGCTTTTGGGCAGAGGACCTCCGAGGTGTTTCAGAATATTTATGATTTAACACAATTTTTATATTTAAGGTTTATTCCTATTTTTCAGAATGGATTCCTGTATATTATTTCAACCTGGGTAATAATGTGGTGCTTCTTCACCCATGTTTTTGTGCACATTTTTCCATTGTTGGCCATTGTGTGCTCCTTCAATGACTCCTGTCCCCTCTGGGATGCCCCCATTTTTGTGGGATGGTTTATCTGGGTGAAGCAGATCGAGCATAACCATCTGCACAAGATGATGCTTCAAACTCACTTCATGTATTTCCTTCCCAGCAGTATATTCAGCATTGCTTCAAGAGCCACGGATCCTTTTAACGGAGAGGAAGTTCGAGATCCAGATATCACCACGATGTGTGCAAACAGCGATGGTGCTTTTGCTTCTTGGCTTCTCAGTTTACAGAACTAGGCAGCAGGTGTGTCTACAGAACAGTGTACGTGCACGTGTGCGTGAGTATTTATAGAAATAACCATCCCTACCTACAGGAAGCTAAGGGTGGGCTGATGCTGAGGTCTCCAACTCCAATCCTTGGCCACATGGATCTCTCCATCTCTGTCCCCTTGCTGATCTATGAGTCCACACTCCAGCACAGTAAACCTGGATTCCACCACCTGCCCTCAATAAGTGTAAGGGTTAAATTAGAGCGTACGTGGACATCACTATCAGTGATGACTGCGTATCAACTAGAAAGCACTTCTGTACACAGTTACATTTGCCTTTTCTGTTCCAGACACCACTCACTTCCAAAGGGCACTCCTGAGGACAACACCTTCCCACCCTTCTCCACAGAGGTTGTTTCACACGTTCAGATCATCTGAATTCTTTCCTGGGATCCTCAACCTCCTGAAACACTATATCTAGTTTTTGTACAAAAAGGTTGCTCTCTGGACTGTAAAATTACATGGAATTCAGTAAACGCATAATGTCATATGTCCCCCATTGCTGTATCCCACAAAGAGTTTCACTGTCCTAGAAATCCCCGGAAACTAATTATCTTTTAACTGTCTTTATGTCTTAACTTCTCAGGATGTTATGCAATTGGATTTGTATACTGTGTCTATTTTCACACTGACTTTTTGGTGTTTTAGTTTATTTTTGCGTTTCTATATCAGAATACTTGTGTCTTGCTAATTCATAAAGAAAAGAGTTTTCTTTGGCTCCTGATTCTGGGGCAGCTGCATCTGATGACGGCTGCAGTCTGTTTCCTCTCATGGCAGCAAATGAAAGAAGAGCCAGTGTGTACAGATCACATGGTGTGATAAAGCAGGACAGAGAAACTGAGGAAGTCACACGCTTTTAAACAACCTGCTCCAAAGCACATTCGTCCACTCCTGGTGAGCTCGGTCACTCTCCATGGAGGGCATTCATCCTCGCCCATGACCCAAACACCTCCCACTGGACCCCGCCTCCCATCACAGCCACACTGAAGATCAAATTGCTACAGGAGACTTGGAGGAGACAAATATTCAATTAAACCCTATGGCATAATGCACTGAAGATTAATCTAGTGTTCATGGCTTAATAGATCATTTCAATTTATCCGTAATGCTCTATTGTATGGATGTACCTCAGTATTTTTTCCCACTACAGTTGCTCATGGAATCATGAATACTTCCACGTTTTAGTAATTTTGATTGAAGTTATCAAAACAATTTGAGGAATTCAGCAAGATGGAGAAATAGAAGTCAACAGCGCTCATTTCCTCCCTGAAATGTCCATTTGAAAAAACATCCACACGTGAAAATACATTCAGAGGTGCTAAGGAATAGATCTGAAAGGTTACATCACGGTGACAGAGTACAGACAAAAGAAGACATAATGAAGACATTAGAAAGGACAGTTCTATATCAGACATATCCCACCTCCCCAACATTCATGGAGGACATAGTGGAGAGAGAAACCCTCCATGGAAGAAAAGACATGTGAAGTGAGCACCCATGTTCACCACATACCCCAAAACAGGCCTATCCAAGGGAAACCCAGTGACAGGGCAACACCTTAATCCCAAGCTCCAGGCCCACTGCACCTGGCAGGCTATCTTCTGTAACCCCAAAACCTGAAAGCCTCCCACAGATCCAAGCTTCATTCCAGGACTCATGACCCATGTCTATAGATACAGAGCAAGACCAAACCCTGTGCCAGGCTGTCTCCTGCCTGAGGACTCCAGCAACAAGTTCACCTGTGGACCCACCAACCAACCTGCCCAGAATTTCCAGATGGAATGTCAGGTGAAAGGATATCAATGCTAAATATGTTCTGTGAAGACTGATGGAGGTGCCCACTTCTTCCACTTGTGCAGTCAACTTTCCAAATCCACAAGAACCAAGAGCCACCAGATAAACATGACGGTGCCAAAGTAGCAATATTAAGAACCAGTCCCAACACAAAGAAGTGCAGATCTAAAAAATGCCTAACATGGAATTCAAAATAATCATTAAATAAGTTCAGTGAGCAGAAGAGAATGACACGTGGATAATGAAACAGTATCAGGAAAACAACAAGTCAACAAAATCAGAACTTTAATGAGGAGATAGAAAACATAATAAAAATAATTGGAAATTTTGAAGACAAAACACAACAACTGAAATGAGTATTTCCAAGGGAAACATCAACAACAGATTTCCTCAAACAGAAGAAAAGTTCAGTGAGCTCAGAAACAAGTCTTCTGTAATTACCTAAGCAGAAGAAAGAACAGAAAAATGAAGGCACCCTGATAGGGTTCCTTCCATGAGACTATCTGTATAGCAAGTATTCTGAGGCCTCCTTTGCCTAAAAGTGTTTTTATTACACCCTCACACAAAAAATTTAAAAAAAAAAAACCACTAGGAATCATTTACCAAGGAGGTGGAAAGAAATTAAACAAGACAGGAAAAGATGGAAAGACATTCAGTGCTCTTGGATTGGAAGAATGAATATTGTGAAAATATCTATACTACCCCAAGCAATCAACAGTTTCAAGGCAATCCACATCAAAATACCAATGACATTCTTCGCATAAATGTAAAAAACAATCTTAACATTCATATGGAGTAAGAAAGACCTTGAATAGAAAAAGCAATCCTTGGGGCCGGCCCGTGGCTCACTCGGTAGAGTGCGGTGCTGATAACACCAAGGCCCCGGGTTCGGATCCCACATAGGGATGGCCGGTTCGCTCACTGGCTGAGCGTGGTGCTGACAACACCAAGTCAAGGGTTAAGATCCCCTTACCGGTCATCTTTTAAAAAAATTTAAAAAAAGAAAAGAAAAGAAAAAGCAATCCTTGGCAAAAATAAATAAATAAATAATTAAATCAGAGGCATAACACTACCTGACTTCTAATTATACTACAAAGCTATCATAACCAAAACAGAATGGCACTTGGATCAGAGGAAGAGAAGAGAGAACCCAGAAATCACCCCTCAGGCTTATAGCCTTCTGATATTCGAAAAAGGCAACAAGAACATACATTGGGGAAAAGACTGCCGCCACTTAAATAAGTGGTGCTGGGAACGTTGCATATCCATTTGTAGAAGGATGAAAGTAGACGTGCACCTCTCAGCATACACTGAAATCAACTCAAAATGGATTAAACACTTCAGTACAAAACCTGAAACCATAAAATTACTAAGGGAAAATAAGGTGAAACACTTCAGGTACTATGTCTTGGCACAGACTTTATGAACAAGAACTCAAAACCAAACATAGCAGCAAAAGAAAAAATAAACAAATGGGACTGAAAAACAAAAAAGCTTCTGCACAGAAAAGGAAACAATCAACAGAGTGAAATGACAACATACAGAGTAGGAGAAAAATCTTGCTAACTATGCATCTGACAAGGGAATAATGTACATAAAATACAAGGAACTCAGGCAATTACATAGTAAAAAATAAAAACAATCACCCCCTGCCCCCAAAAAACAATTAAGAAATGGTCAGAGGAGCTAAATAGATATTTTTCAAAGAAAACATGCAAATGGCCAAATGGTACATGAAAAAATGCTTAACATCAGTAGTCATCAGGGAAATGCAAAGTAAAATCACATTAAGATATAACCTCACCGTATTTAGACTGGCGATAATAAAAATGATGTTGAATAACACATGCTGACGAAGATGAGGAGAGAAGGGATCACTCTTGCCCTGTCGGCGGGACTGTAAGTTAGAAGAACCACTATGGAAAACAGTATGGAGGTTTCTCTGACAACTACAGAAACATCTTCCATATGATCCAGCAATCCCACTTCTGGGCATATTCCCAAAGAAATAGAAAACTTCATGTAGGAGGGACACCTGCACTCCCATGTTCCTCACAGCTCTATTTAAAATAGCCAAGTTATGGAACCAACCTAAATGTCCATTGATGGATCATTTGATAAGGAAATTGTGGTGTATATACACCATGGAATACTACCATGCCATAAAAAAGAATGAAATTCGGGCCGGCCCAATGGCACACTGGAGAGTGCGCCGCTTGGGAGTGTGGCGGCGCTCCCGCCAAGGGTTCGGATCCCATGTGGAGACCAGTTCCTGCTCACTGGCTGAACACAGTGCGGGCGCAACACCGAGGGTTGTAAGCCCATTGCCAGTCCCCGGTACAGGCGTGACACCGAGGGTTGCGATCCTGTTACCGGTCAGTAAAAAAGACAAAAAAAGGGGAAAAAAAAAAAAAGAATGAAATTCTCCCATTTGCAACAACATGGATAAGCTTGGAAAAATTTCTATTGAGTGAAATAAGTAAAGCACAGAGGAATAAATTCCATATGTCCTCAGTAATAAGTGGGAACTAAGAGAGAAAGAAGGAAGGAAATAAAGACCACAGCGGTGTGCTGGACTTTCAGAGGGAGAGAACATACCTATGGATGCAAAGTTGAGTAGGGAAAAGTGGGAGGATAATTATGGTGGGGACATGGGGTATAATCACAATTTGTGTTAATGTACTTGTTGCCAGTATAGTTCTGGCCATCACCTCTTGGGCACGAGTGGTGACATTCACCTTTGTACCCCGTGAATATTCACAACCATTAACAATATTGAATAACAATTTCAACATTACAACTGACTGTCATTACTGAGAAAAAACAACAAAACAAAAACAAACAAAAAATGCAGGGGTTCAAGGTACCAAAATGCCTGCACAGCCGAAAAATCTGCATATAATATTTAAGTCTCTAAAACTTGACAACTTGTGATCTGTTGTTGACCAAATGTCTTGTCAATAGCAAAAGAAGTCAATTTACACATATTTTGTTTGTTATATATATTATATATTGTGTTTTTACAACAAATTAAGCTAAAGAAGAGAGGATGTTATTGGAAACCTTGTAAGAAAGAAGATATATTCACATTGCTGTACTGTATTTATTGATACCATAGGTTCACATGGTCTGTGTGTGAGATGAGACATCTGTCTGTATGCACCTACATTGATAGTGTTTCTTGGCCACACAGTTTGTCTGAGAGTAATTTTGGGTCACTGTGGATCTTCAAAAGTTTTCAATATATTTATTAAAAGCAATTTTCATAAAAGTGGACACACACAGTTTAAACCCTTGTTATTAAAAGTAAACTATAAATAAAAACTTACTTTGAATGTTATATATATATTATATATTGTGTTTTTACAACAAATTAAGCTAAAGAAGAGAGGATGTTATTGGAAACCTTGTAAGAAAGAAGATATATTCACATTGCTGTACTGTATTTATTGATACCATAGATTCACATGGTCTGTTTGTGAGATGAGACATCTGTCTGTATGCACCTGCACTGATAGTATTTCTTGGCCACACAGTTTGTCTGAGAGAAATTTTGGGTCACTGTGGATCTTCAAAAGTTTTCAATATATTAATTAAAAGCAATTTTCATAAAAGTGGACGCACACAGTTTAAACTCTTGTTATTAAAAGTAAACTATAAATAAAAACTTACTTTGAATGTTACTGATCTAGGTGCACCAATTGGACTGTCTAGTGAGCACAGTTATTTAGAAAATGGTATTGATAACTCTCAGGTACAGGGCTCAATCCCCGTATCATGAAGTCTCAAAAAAAATATATATATATATATAGATACACACACACACATATATATACATATATATGATAATTAATTAAACAAATATATACAAATGCACCAATTAAATATAGGGAAAGTCAGAGTGAAACCAGAAACAAGACAAATTTCCACTGTCTGCAATAACCCACTTTAAATATAAACACACATATAGAGTAAAATTAAATGGAGAAATATGTACTATGTTAACACTAATGAAAAACATCAAGAGCAGTTATATTTAACTCAGATAAAGCAGACTCTCGAGAAAAGAAACTTATCAGGGAGAAAAAATAGTATTTATAGTGATCAGCATCTGTACAAAAAACATAACAGTCCTTAACATGTATGTTCCTAACTTACACGTTAAGTGTCAAAATTTATGAGAAAGTAACTAATTGTATTAGTCAGTGTATTTTAGAGAAATAGCAATAATAAGACAGATAAGTATACAGATGATAGATGAAATTATATTTAATATGGGAGTTGGCTTACACTCCCATATGCAGGCTGAGGAATCCAACAACACACCTTTTGCAAACTGAACTCCAAACAAAGACATTAGTGTGATTTGGCCTGAGCCCATAGAACCAGAGGATTTGATGGTGTAACTCTCATTTTGAGATCCAGGGTGGTGGTGAAGGCCCAAGAATTAAGAGTTCTAATGTCAAAAGAAAGAGATAAACTGCTCTTTCCAGCCTGGAGTCTTTGGAGGGTACAAGGATCATTCAGCCTGCATGACTCAGAGGGAGAACTAGGGGCCACTGTCAGCTGCACAACCCTGATCCATGGCACCTCTTGAGAGATTCTATTGTCAAAATGCACTCAAGAGTTTTCTTAAAATTTCCACCTCACATCCGGGTGTAGCATATCTAGTAAAAAACTCCAATGGGCAGAGTCATCCTGAGCATCCAGGCAAAGGAATCCTTCTGCCTGCCCTCAGACACCAGAGGCTCAGAGTGATGAGCACTTCTGGACACCTCATACATGCTCACAGGAGAGATACATGCAAATTTGGCCCCTCCCCTGCTCATGAAAAGCAGCTCATCTCCTGTCTCTGCTCATCCTGGCAAGGAGCCACCCCATGTCTGTGCCTTTCTCTGTGTCCACACCATGGGATCTGCACTGTTCTGGGTTTCCCTTCTTATCACTCTCAAAGGTAATGTCCCTCTTGCATCAGGCTCAGAAGTGACTGCTCCATATGGGCTGTTCTCAGTCTGTTTTCTCTGTGTTTGTAGGTGTCCTGTGTGAAATCCAGCTGGTGGAGTTGGGGGGAGACATGAGACAGCCTGGGGTTCTCTGAGCCTCTCCTGCAAAGCCTTTGGATTCACCTTCACTAACTACAGCATGCACTGGGTCCGCCAGGCTCCAGGGCAGGGGCTGGAGTGGGTGGCAGAAGTGAGTCAGCCAAGTGGAAGTAAACAGTGGTACTCTCCATCAGTACAAGGAAGGTTCACAATATCCAGGGACAACCCTACAAGCACAGTGTCTCTTAAAATGACCAACCTGAAAGTCGAGGACACGGCTGTGTATTATTTTGTGAGAGACACAGTGAGGGAATGTCAGTGTGAGCCCAGACACAAACCTCCCTGCATGGAGACTTGGTGGTAGGGGGAGCTCAGGTCCCGCATATTACAGAATTTCCACATTACAGAATTTCCACTCAGAAGCAGGTGCAGAGGATACCCTGCATTTCCTTTTAGAGTTTGGTGTTTCCTCTTCCTCTTCCTCAGTAAAAATCGTACTCAGGAACTGTTATTTTTAATTCATTTGATTCCCTGGTTTCCCTTACCTTAAACTGATTAGTTTGAAACAGAAATTAAATTCATTTTTATTGTAAAATTTACATAATATATTTTTAATTAATTAATTAATTAATTTAAAATATTCATAAGATACAAAGCTAATTGTCACCCTTCCTGCTCATGATGTGAGGGCCAGATTGATACTGGGGCTGTACCCATTACCAGAAATTACTATTGTGCCCATTGTCCCCACCCAAGTATCCCTCAACCTCCCTCCAACTCCCCCTCTCATGTTATATACTGTCACCTCTCCCTCTGGGTGGTAGTTTGTCACCTCTCCCCCTGGGTGATGGAGATGCAGATAGGTTTACTCAAAGCCCATTTCTTCTGAGTAGTGAGAAGCCCTGAAGGGGTTAATTTTCCAGGAACCCTCAAGAGACAGGCATTCCTCCTTGGAAAAATAACACTGGACTGGGATCTACTCCCAGTATTTATTTTCCAGGGCAGGAGGTTACTGAAAAGGAAAACAGGTGGTAACAGAAAGAACAGTACAATAATTGCCATGGCAACACTCATTAATTTGTAAAAAGTTAAGTTGATCCACCAGCAAAAGCTTGTTCTCAGCAAACACTTTTCTAATGCTACAGCAATTTCTTTGCATATTTACATTACAATCAAGTAACTTTCTTAGCATATCAATCAGTAGGTTAACCTGCCAAGGACGTCTGTCCTTCAGCCAGCAATTTTGCTGTGTTACAATCCTTTATCTACAACCGAGACTTTAGCCTGGGGAAATTTTCCTGTCTTTAGCAAGCTTAACATTTCTATATGTAATTTTTAAAAGATAGGTTATACCTGAAACTACAGGGCTTTGGATGCTAGGCCTTGTGAAATACATTTGCTTTATTAATATTAGTGCTCTCTACAATATACAACATTTTAAATATTGTACAGTGTACAGTTTAGTGGCACTTAATATACTCACACTGCATTTTATGATCCACACTGTCTAGTTATAGAACATTTTTGTAAGAAAGTGAGCGGAGATGCAGGGTACCGTTCAAGCTTTATTAAAAAAAGAAATCTGATGGGCTGCGGAGGTGTCGGGGACCATTCAAGCTTTATTAAAAAAAAGAAATCTGCCAGGCTGTGCTCAAAGTAGCAGGCACCCCAGGGCTGACCTGAAAAGGGGACAGCGCAAGGAGTGAGGGTGGTAGAGCTTATATAGTGTGCTGAGGGCTGGCTGACACCTTCAAGGAGGGTCATTATGCTAATGTGCTTCAGAGTGGGGAACTGCGTCCTTGTGGAACCAAAGGGGCTTCTATTTAGGTCAGGAGGCTTCTCATCAAGGGAAGAGGGAGGGGAGGGGAGGAGGTGGCCATGCCGTTTTGTACTTGGGCTTGTCTAAGGTGGTGCTGGTTATGTTGCATATCTATTAATTTTCCTCAGACAAAAAGGAAAGCCTATACCCTGCAATCATTCAATTCTCCCATCTCTCTCTCCAAGCCCCTGAAATACACTAAACTATTTTCTATCTCTAAGGATTCACTTATTCTGGATATTTCATATTAATGAAGTTATATGAGTTTTCTTCTCTCTGTAGATGAGTTTTATGGGGTCTTTATATACCATATTATGGATAGTAGACCAGTAATGGCTACAGTTTCTGTGGATTAGAACATTTTAGCTCTGCACCCTCGACACTATATGTGCCAACAACCAGGGAGCACCCCTTTCTCTTTCAATTCCCTCCCAGCCATGTTCTGGTGATGGGACAACATGTGGAATTCTCCACCCCTGACTCATTCAAGCACCAGCAACAGTGAAAACCCTGCCTTTGTGGACATAAAGTCAGGAAGAGAAACTCCCAGGAAGCTCATAGTGGAGGGAGCAGCAGGGAGAGGGGCAGATGGAGAGGAAACTGCTACACCTGTGTGGACACCTGGCTCACCTCCTGATGTGTGATTGTGTAGCTGATGGGGAAACACAAAGCAAAGGCTCTGAGAGTGACTGTGGGTGCAGACCACAGTCTAGAGTCTAGGGTGTCTCCTGAGAAGTGTGCACAGGGATCGTGACAGATCTGTGATTCAAAGACTATGAAATCCTAACTGATATCAGAATGACAATTACCAGCAGGTGGGTCAGGACCTGCAGTCTGCATCCAATTGAGATTACAGTCTTATAAAGATGCAAACAAAGGAAAAACAACATTTCCCAGGAAAGTTGAACAAGAGCTAGCATCTCATAACACATTCTGAAAAAGATTCAGTACAAATTAAAATCACTGATGGACTTCAACTTTGTAATTTAGTTCAGAATTTCTTTGGCTATTTGAGGTCTTCTGTGTTGTTCAAAAAATTTTAGAATTTATTTTTATGGTAAAAGCTCACATTAGTGTTTTGATAATGTTTGTGTTAGATGCTATATTCATTATTCAAATCTGTGAACACACAATACCTTTCCAATATTTGCATCATTTTCTCTTTCTCTTTCTTTTCATCAGTGCTTCAGAGTTTTCAGTATACAAATCTATAACCTATTTGGTTAAATTTCGTTCTGAAAATTTAGGTTAAATTTAGTTGTAAATTGTGATTCATTCTATTCTAAATGGTATTGTTTTATTGATTTATTTTTTAAGTCGTTAATTGTGTATAGGAACACTGCTGACATCTGTGCATTGATTTTGTATCATGCAACAGTACTTGATTTGTTTATTAGTTCTCACAGTTATTAGGCTGAATTTTTAAACTTTTTATACATGAAATCATTTAATCAGAAACAGAAACAGTTTTTATTCTCCTATGCTATGTGGATGTCATTTATTTATTTTTATTTTCTCATTGCCCTGGCTACAACTTCCAGGTCTACACTGTAGACAATTGGTGACAGAGGGTTTTCCTGTCTTGTTCCGATCACATATAACAAACCTTCAGCTTTCACGGTTAAGCATGTTAGCTGTGGGGTTGTCATATATAATGTAGTGGGAATTTTTTTTCTATAAGTAATTTGTGGAAATTTCTTATTATTAAAAAGATGTTCAATTTTGTTGAAACTATTTTTGGCATCTGTTTAGATCATATGTTTTTTCTCCTTCATTCTGCAATGTGGCTTATCACATTTATTAACTTGCTTATTTTGAACCATCCTTGCATCCCAGAGACATCTCTACCTCTCAGTTCATCATGGTTCAGAACATATCATAATACTAACGTCATCAGAACAAACGTAGGCTGGCTATTTGAGATCTTCCTAATTCTTTAACAAAGGTGATCATCACTGTTATTCACTGTGATGCTTTTGTTGCATCTCATATCTTTTGTTACCTTGTCTTTTAATTTTTATCTGTTGAAATATTTTTGAAGTCACATTTTTAGTTACCCTTTGACACAATGGTTCTTCACATGTGTGTTGTTTATTTTCCACACATTGCTGTATTATACCTTTTTGTTACTATCGTTGTTTAATTTAAATTTGATGAGGTCAGAAAAGACATTAGATTTTAATTTTCTTAAATTTGTCAAGAGTCATTTGTTACATAACATGAAAATTATCCTGTATAGTGTTCCAAGTGTGAGTGAAAAAAATTGTGTATAATTTTGCCACTGGGTGTAAAGATCTATGTGTGTTTTATGTTCATTTTGTCTATGACATTATTCAAATCAGTGGTTTCTTTTTTTCTTGAAACACACTGATTGAATATATATATGAGTTATAGCATTGAATATCAATATCTGTGTGCAATAGAGGAACAGGTGCTTTCAGTTTAGTTAGTTATTTGGTTACAGAGTCTTCTGCAATGAACTGAAGCTCTGCTGTGGCAGTAAAAGTTCATACTAGTTTGGTCTGTGAGACATGACACAGAAGACTAATATAAATCACTGGCCTCTCACAAATGTTATTTAACATTCCCCTCCAAACATTGGTCAGGCTCTAACCTGCATGAGACTCTGAACAACAGCTCCCAGTCACCGTCATCCTAGAGTTTCAATCTCAAAACATTAATTATAGATCATGGTGTCCTCATGATCACATGTTCTTTACAATATTTTTAATTACTTTATTAATTACTTTTAAACATATTGATTATGCATATTTGAGGGTTACAGAGTTGAATAGCAATACATTACACAATGTGTGAGGATCAATCAAGGTAGTTGTCATATTTATCTTTCCAAAACCAAATCACTTCTTTGTGATGATGACATTCTATCTCCCCTCTTCTAGCCATTGGATAACATGCAGTAAATGAAGGTTAATTACAGAGACCTAACTCAAATGTACAACCACGGAACTTATTTTTTCTATCGGGCTGGAACGTGTCCATAAGCAAACTACTTATTTTTCCCCAATCTCTTTCCTGCTTCTAGTAACCACAGGTCTGCTCTGCCCTTCTGAAATGTAATATTATTATCAGAATTATTGTTTCTTCCATACAAACACATGGAATTTAAACAACATTCCACTTAATGATATATGGATCCAAGACAAAATTAAACAGGAAATAAAAAATTTATTGAAACTGATGAAAATTATGTCACATCATACCAAAACCTGTGGGATACTGCAAAAGCAGTATTAAGAGGAAAATGTATCACATTAAATGCTTACTTGAGAAGAATGGAAAGATGGCAAATAAACAACCTAACACTTCACCTTAAAGATCTAGAAAAACAAGAACAATCCAAACCTAAAGATAGTAGATAGAAAGAAATAATTAAGATCAAAGCATAATTGTATGAGATAGAAACAAACAAACAAAAAAAACAATGCAAAAGATCAATGAAACAAAAAAGTTTGTTTTTTGAAAAGATAAATTAAATTGACAAAAGTTTAGCAAGATTAACTACAAAAGAAGACAGAAGACTC